CTATGCGTCCTCAAGCAGGTGGTTGAACTTCTCTTAACCCACAGTGTCTGCCATTGTAAAATTAGAATAATAGTAGTGACAAGTTTGGATACGGTCATTGTGAGAATTAAATGTGATATTGCAGCTAACGCACTTAATTCAGGAATTAGCACATAGGAATCAGTATTTTTTAGCTATTATTAAAAGTTCCTGATTTACATTTTTAGCTCCTAAACCAGACTAATTCTATACATACATGTGTACAAGTACACATATACACATGAAGATAACCCAGATTAAAAATATTTAAGTGATTCCCTTGGCTATGGTTAGCGCTAGGACTATGGGCCTATGTTTGCTGAAAGTTTATCTCAATACAGTCGCAGGAACAATGAACAAAAACTTTGTGTGTCCAGCCATATCCACTTCAGCCAAGATACAATCTGAATAGCATGCTCCTGATTCCTCTAGTGCTTTCTCATTCAGAAACTGAAAACGTGACAGAGAAGGGTTATCGATATTAAGTAATATTTCACCCGCAAATTCCAAGTCTTGTGGCATAGGGAAAAAAACACAAGAAATGCATAACATATTTTCTTCATTCTCAAAACTGATTTATTCAACAAAGAAATAATCATGGAGAGCATACCATGTTCCAGGTTGTGTGTGTGTGTGTGTGTGTGTGTGTGTGTGTAAAATGATAGATTAACAGAGTTAAAATAGCTGGCAATTCTGAGAACTATTTAAATGTGCTAAATTGGAAATCTCGATGTAGACTGAAAAACAATTTTAAGAGTTAATTACCCTCTAAACACAAACACACACATACAATTTGTCATGTGCAAAGACAGCTAATCCTAGTAAGAATAATAGCACAATTCATAAAGACGGCAAGCCAAGCCCCAACCTGAAACCTCATACGCCGAAGAGAAAGCTAAGTATGCATATTGAGACTCAAAAACAAAAACAAACAAACAAAAAAATCAATGGAGAACTTAAATTACATCCAAGTGAGGAAGTCAAGTAAAGACTAAGTGTGGCCACTTATTCAATGCTGCGGCAATGGCAGATAGACTAAGTAAGTTCATTGCCTGGGTCTTTACAGAAGATATCACGGAGATTCTTCCTGGAACCTGACAGGCCAGGGTAGGAGACTAGACAGTGGCAAATGAACAGGGTGTTCCAGGGCTGGCTGATAACATTGATGCAGGTAAGTCACAGGCACCAGGACATTCATGTGAACTCCTTAAAGGAACTCAAGGGTTCAAACAAGACCCCATTGCAGAAAATGCTTAACCTGTCCCTAACAACAGCTGCTGAGCTGGAGGACCCCTGGACTCCCAACCTGAGTCTCTTTCCTAAAAATATTAGATGTAAAATTAGCGTAGATTTGTTAAATCCTAGCACAGCAAAAGCTGCAGGAGGCCTGCCTTAAAGTTTAAGTGGAGTAAATGAAGGACAAATGGCCAAAAAAAAAAAAAAAAAAAAAAAAAATCTTTAACAGTAGTTAGCAAACTTAAGAAATTCATTACTCCCAAAGATATGGGCTAAAAATATAAAAAGATTCCTAAAAAGTTTAGATCATTTCGGAGATATATCCACACAGAAGGAAGGTTTTCAGGGGCAATGACTTGGAGTCCTAGGATTGGTATCTTTGAGAATGGCATTGGTGGGGAAAGAAAGAAGCATTGCCCCATATTTCTTGGTACTTCCAGGCTGGGCCTCTTGTAATTCCTGTATACCAGTATTCCCTCTTTCTTTCTTTTTTTTTTTTTTTTTTTTTTTGAGATGAAGTCTTGCTCTGTTGCCCAGGCTGGAGTGCATTGGCACAATCTCAGCTCACTGCAACCTCGGCCTCCTGGATTCAAGCAATTCCCCTGCTTCAGCCTCCTGAGTAGCTGGAACTATAGGCATGCACCACTACACCCAGCTAATTTTTGTGTTTTCAGGAGAGAAGGAGTTTCACCATATTAGCCAGGCTAATCTCGAACTCCTGACCTCAGGTGATTTACCTACCTCGGCCTCCCAAAGTGCTGGTATTACAGGTGTGAGCCACCATGCCTGGCCAGTAGTCCCTCTGTCTTTTATTAAACACGTCACCTCACTTTCAGTCTTGGCATTTGGTCTCATGCATGATAAAAAGCCCAGTTTAAGTGGCTCACACCTATATAATCCCAGCAATTTGGGAGGCTGAGGCAGGAGGATCACCTGCATCCAAGAGTTTGAGACAAACCTGGGCAACATAGGGAGACCAGTCTCTATAAAAAATTAAAATTAAACTAAAAAGCCCAGTGGATAGTCACTGTGATTCTGCCTGTGCTACACATTCACTGTTACAGTCTTGTTTCTCTTATTTTAGCAGGGGCTCTGCAGCACCAAGAGACAGACAGGACCGGCCCAGGGCAAGGGAGAGGTTGAGTTCACACTTCACCTTTGGCTTCCAGAAATGCTAAAGGTTCCCAAAGGATGAAGTGCTGCCAAAGCCTCAGCCCTTCTCCATCCATCTTAGTAGGCCTGCTTGTCCCCATGGAAATATTAATGAATTCTACGTCATAGGATACAGAGGCCACTGAAGAAGGAAGCAATTTCTATAAACAATAATCTATTTATAGATTTACTTTTCCACCTGCCCCACACCCAACAAGAATATGTGAGGGCTTTGTGATCCCTGGAATGGGAGATAATACATAAAACATGCCAAGGAGCGCACCATGACCTAAAAGAGACAAAGATCTGGGATTCAGAGGTAAGTACACAAAGAAAGCAATATAGAGTGGGGAGCACATGAATAAGGCATCTCTATTTTCAGTGAGAAAAATATATGAAGGGAAGCCTCATGATTTCCAGGTCATGCACCTCAGTGAATTCCAACACAAAGACCATCTCAGTGTCAAAAGGCCATATTCAGAGAGCTACTTCCAAACGGGCGGGAGTTGGCCCTATACAGAAATAATGTGGTAACATAACCCCCGGAGGAAAATGTGTTTTTAGTTACACCAGGGCCAGGCCCAGCCTTTCCCACAGGCTCTTCCTAAACAGGAACTTGGCAATGGGATTAGCTGAGCTGGAGGGGACGTCCTTGGCTTTAGAGGTGAGGCCCATCAGGGTCCCAAGAAAGTTGGGCAGAGGTTTTCCCTGCTGCTAATAGCACTGAAGAATCAGCATCACATCCATTTTATTAATTTACTTGACAGACAGCTCTAGTTACCATGCAGGCACCACAAAATCAAAACATACGCATGTCAGGGGGCCCCATCTGCGGTGGGGCCCTGCCAAGGCCTACGTTACATTAACACAAGGAAGCAGAGCACAGCTCCACACACCATGTGCTTGGTCCCATGGGCCATTCCCTGGAAGAAAACCACCAAAGCTTAATTGAAAGAGCCAGAGAAGTTCTCTTGGTAACAGTCCTTTATCCTGAGTCTGGGCTTCTCACGTTGAACATAAGAGCCCTGGGAGACACGTGGCTACATCTGGCTTCAGGGTCTTGTCTCTAAACACAGCTACACAGACCTCCCTGCCACCTCCATTCAGTTCCGCCCATGCAGGACAAGAGCAGCCTGGATTAAAGAAGACACTTAAAGGAATGCAACATCTTTATTTGTAAGCTGGATCTGAGCTTGGAGTTCTGTTGAGCTGAGACCTTTGGCTGCGTAATGAGCACAGGAGGGTTTTTTAAATCAAGGTATCCCTTGCTACGAGTGTTGCTAAAGTGATTGAAGGAGCTCCAGAGCAATTTGTTCTTTGATGTAGAGCAACGTGAACTATCAGTTGGCTACATAATGCCAATTTGGCAGGTACAGTGGGTAAGGACCTAAAAAAAACTCTTGCTCTAAATAATATCACTCATAGGTACCCATGGTGAGCACTAACACGTCTGTATCCTCATGCTTCCCATCCACCCCTCTCAATGCCACCGCAGCCATTTCCTCAATACCATCAAGAAACTTGGCAGTGGATTAGGGAGCCATGCGGCAAAAGGCAGGAGGTCTTACACCTTTGATTGCAGAGCTTCTGGCCTCCTTTACAGACCTCGTGCTGACTCATGAACTTTCTTTTCCCACCTCGCCTGCTATTAATTCTGCTCCTTCCATAACAAGAGGAAGGATGTAAGCCCGGATCCAGAGCTAACTGCCTCCCATGCCGTATCAGAAAGGCCCAGGCTAGACCTGTTTTACACACTGGTTTGTCACCTTGACTGCCTGATATAAGAACAGTCTAAGGATAAGAATGGAAATGACTGTGATCCTAGGCTCCAGAAGCCTCCTTGGTAGGGGCTGGATGCTCAATGCAAGGCCCAAGAAACACACTCCTAACCTAGCCCACCCTGTGAGGACAGAGTTGGTTTTTTCCTCTCCTTGCCTGCACTGGTGCAGCCGGTATGGCCAACTTGGGGATTTTGGAGTGGCTGCCCAGCCAGCTCTAACAAGGACATGAACACATTCAGACTGCCTGTCTCTCAGTGCAAAGGGCGCTACTGCCGAGGACTCAGTACATTGTTTCGCTCTCCATTCAAACAACTGCGGCATGTCAGTCCTGCTGGCCTCCTTGATTGTGCAGAAATAAATAAATGAATTATGTTGTTGGGGTTTGGGCTTCAGCACCAACACATGGTCTGCATTTATCCACACAGTGAGAGGTCCACCAGCCACTTGATATAAAAGAGCAAAATGATAATTCTTTTCTTTAGGCGCTCTGCTGCCATATGGAATGTATATAAATCATATTTTTGTTTTAACAGCAGAGGCTTTGTTGATAGATAAACATGTGGTTTATCTAAAAAAAAAGAGAGAGGATTGTGCTTTGAACAATCATTTAATGGCCATGGATGTGCCAAATAAAAATAAAAACATAATTTTGAAAAAAAGCTGGCTTCATGCCCAAATCCGTAACAAGGAATTTCTCCTTAACCCAAGTGGTTAGAGTCTGTCGATCTGTTTTGAGTTTAAGCTGTGCTCTCTACTCAACCCCACGACAAATGGAATCCTGAGCTAATGTGCTTTAATAAGACGAGACGTTACCTTTATGAATGACCTCATGGAGAAGAGGTTGGCAAGCATGGTGGAGAGGCCTTGAGCCAGGCAGCTCTGGGCTATGAAGCCCAACTTCAGCTCTGCGAGGCAGATTGCATCATCACCCTCCTTCCAATTCCAGCTTGGGATGTTTAGCAGATGGGCCTGGGGAAACAAAAGCAGGTATGAGATCTTGCTCTGTTAAGTGTTCAACTGTTTAAAATTTCTTCTGGGATATGCAGCATTGCCCAATCATGCAGGGCCATTCAGACTCGCCCTTCTTTTCCCTTGCTGGGGTCTGATGTTTGCTGTTTTATACAACTCTTCTGCTCATCACACTTCAGTCTCTCTGGATTGTTGTCTCTGTACCTGCTAAGCTTAAGTCCTCCCCTGGATTTGTCATTTGGCCAAATAGAGCCCAGAGGGAATTTCCCCTTGTAACAGATACATCAGCCCAGGTTACTAAGATGTCTAGCTAAATTGTTAGGTTGAGTCCTCAAATGGACCATAAGATTGCCAAATGCCTGTATATTTTCTATTTCTTTTTTACCTGCCTTTCCAATACTCCAGATCAGTGACTCCCAGGCATTAGGAGCAGGCATCAGAATCACCTGCACAGTTTGTGAAAACACAGATTGCTGACCACTCAACCCCCACTGCTGGCATTTCTGATCCAGTAGTCTGGGGTAAGGCTGGAGAATCTGGCATTTCTAACATGTTGGAGGTGATGTTAATGCTGCCGATCTAGAGGCCACACTTTGAGAACCACTGCCCTAAAACATCAGGTAAATCACCATGTTGACGTTTCCAATCTCTTGCAAAGGGACTGGTCCTATTCAACCCTTCCCAGGCCCTGAGACAAGGACACAGAGGCATGCTCATCCAATTATTTTTAAGTGGCATGAAGCACAGAGTCATAGAAAATACATTGGATGAAAGAATAAAAGTTCAAAAGGTTCTCCAGAGTTGGAAAAATCGGCAAAAGACCAAAGTAAAAAGATTTACAAGGCTTTCACGTCAAGTACAGCATTTAGGTTAAAACGAATCAACTTTATAAATTCAAAATGAGAAGATCTAGCTTGGCGGCAGGCAGGAGAGAAATAAAACAAAACAAAACGCACAAAGCTAAATTTAAGTGTGTGGGTAACTCAGACCTCAAATTTTAGGCCAGCCATGTGACATTACAGAGAAAGCCAGTGTTTACTTGTTAGAAATGCTCTCCAGATCAAGGGAAATGAACATTGCATTCTGTTGTAAACTGGTCAGACTAGTTCCAGAGTACTTGATCCAGTTTTCAGTCAGATTTAAAGAAGGAAAATGATCAATTGAATAACTTCCAGAGAAAAGTGACAAAGACAAGAAGAGATAGCATCTGGAAAAGATCTTTTGAGGAACAGTTAAGAGAGCCAGTAATATTTGGCCTGAAGAAGGCTCTTGTCCTCACAGAGACAGGATGGTTACATCTGAATACTTCAGGTACTGCTGTGTCCAAGATTAGGTTTGTCCTGCTTTGTTCTAGAAGCCAGAATTAAGACTGGCATATATTCCAAAAAAGCAGATTTTTGTCTTGTTTTATAAATGAACTTCCTAAGGATGTGATTTGTCTACCAAATGGAGAGGGTTACCTTAACGATTGCAAGGTCTTTGTCCATAAGACTCGGTAAGTATTTCTCCAAGTGACTATGGAAAGAACATTTGCTCTGTACCAGGATGTGGAATCAGAGAGCTCATCTAAGTCTCTGCTAATCCCAAGGCTCTATGGCTTTGAAATTATTACTTCTCTGCACATCTCAGCAAACACAAGGAACACCAAGGGAGTCTTCTCTTCACTTTCAGAACAACATACAATAGTTGAACTAGAAGGATGGAAGACTTCACTGTGAAAACAAAGAGCAAATCCAAGAACTCCACACTCTGCTTTCAAAAATACCACTTTTGTGAAATTCCTTCTTGCAAAATCCACTTCTATGACAATGTTGTGCATCCTAAGCCAAAAGTGGTTACCCCAGGGAGAAATGACTGTGCCCTCTCTGATGAGAGCATGGTTAAAATAGTCTCATGGAGAAGCCACAGCAAGTAGTAATTGCTGTCAAGCTATCAAAGAACCTTCCCCACATTGCAGACTCAGTTCCAACAACTAGCCTTTCCCTTTATCCCTTCCTCTCCCTACTCTCCACTGGCTTCAGATGGCTACTTTCCTTTTATTTCCCAGGCACTGTAGAGAGCATATCGGTTTAACTGGAGAAATACTCAATGGCAATAATATCATCTGAGAATCTGGGAGCAATGAGGAGAAATTTAAGTTTAAGTAATGAACAAGTCAAGCATTGTGTGTGAAAAGAGATTTTTTTTGGTCCAAGCCCTAAAAAGACACCTCTGAACCTTCATGGAACCTTCAAACAAACAAGCAAAATCTTTCAAAGAAAGTCTCTCCTATCCCCATGTGCTATCTAGCATATGAGGCCCAGGCATTACATCCTTGGGTCCCATGTGGCCCTGTCTGGCTTAAGTTCTGTTGGTACATTTTGAGCTTTCTTTCTCACTGTCCACCTTGACACTTGGGCATGTGATTACAAAGAAAAGTTGAGTTTAGAGCCGGATGTGATGGCTCATGCCTGTTATCCCAACACTTTGGGAGGCTGAGACAGGCAGATCACAAGGTTAAAAGATCAGAGACCATCCTGGCCAACATGATGAAACCCCATCTCTACTAAAAATATAAAATTTAGCTGGGCGTGGTGATGCACACCTGTAGTCCCAGCTACTTGGGAGGCTGAAGCAGGAGAATCATTTGAACCTGGGAGGTGGAGGTTGCAGTGAGCCAAGATCACACCACCACACTTCAGCTTGGGGATAGAGCAAGACTCCATCTCAAAACAACAAAAAAAAAAAAAAAGGAAAGGAAAGTTGAGTTTGTTCCATATCTCAGGCTTCCGGCCCTCCTTTTTTGGACATTACATTTTCTCCAACACAGGGAAGGAGTGAGGGTGACTTGCTGAATGCTGGGAGGGAAATCTCTGTGTATGAAACAAAGAGAGGAGACTGACCCAGGAACGCAAATCCTTTGTTTCTGGCAACTTCGTTGTTTTCCATTTGAAGTAATCTGAGTCTGACGAAAAATGCCAGTGTAAGTGCCCAGAAGTCTGGAGGCAAATCCTCTCTCCCTAACATGGAGAATAAATAGAAAGAGCAGATCTGGCAGATCTGGCTGCCCTTCATTTCTGCTACTTCACCACCCCTCCCTTATCTCATGGAGAAGCAACGTGGAAACAGGCTGTCCCGAGAAAGCAGGAGAGATGAATTCCAGTCCCAGTTCCATCTCTCACTACATACAATTTGTGGAAGCCACCATGAGGAACAAAGGTGGCCATGAAAGAGGAAACGCATTAATACGACTGCCCAAGTGTCGGGGTGGACAGGGTGAAAGCAAGTTCAAAGAACTTGCCTCTGTCGGCACTGGGCTCATGGGACTTGGCTTCCAAAGATAAAGCCCTCTTTCATTAGAGCCTTCCGGAAAAATAAAAAATCCACTGATAGGTAAATCATCAGGAATGACTTTCCAAAGAAGTTATAAAACAATCTGTCCTTGAAGAGCTTCGAGACATTTACACTCAAATCAGAAGATGCCCTGCATTGTCTTTCTTCTGTGTTCAAAGATGGCCGACATGAAAGTATTTCTCTCCAAGGAGTCTAGTCATATTAAAAGATACACTTTGGAGAGCATCGGCCCTTCTATAAGGCCTACTCTAGGGAACCACAGTGTGGTTCAATGGGCTATGGCTTCATTTAAAGAGTAGGTGGCAGTCAACTGTTCTGTCTCCCCACTCTCTGGCTACAGAGTGGTGGCCGTGATTTGTGCCCAGCAGAGTTGTACTGTCTGTCAGAGCTTAGACATCCTGCTCTGAAGTTACCCTGAGATGCTAAAATGCACAGATGGTCCAATGAGTACTAAAGAAGATAATGGACGTCACAGCGCTCTTTTAAAACCATAAAATATGACACAAATGTCTACAATTATGATGATGACAAACTCAGGGCCAGTTTTACATGGAGAGGAAGTAGGCAGCTTCCCTATATCCCCCTAGGCCCTAGAAAATTCCTATTACTAGATCATAGGGGACTGAAATGCTTCATATTTCAAGCTTGTTGTCCAATTATAAAATCAACTATCTCTTGGAATATGTTCATAGTGACCTAACTTCGCAGGCACATACCAGATCCTTTCCCAAAAGCAAGTTGTAATGCATGGAGATCTTTAAGCATCTAGGCTTCTAGGATGGGTGCAGCAAAAGGTGCCAAGAGAGAAAGAAAAACAATGTTGAAAGGGAAGTGGAAGAAAACATTGAAAGAGTAGGTAGCATCTCAGGGAACAGAGCAAAACTGTGAAGCAGGGTGAAGAATGTCTATTTGCAATTCTACAAGGAATGAAAGATAAAAAATGATGAGTAGACGTTTTATTGTTTCTCCAGAAGAGATAAATAAAAGGACAAAAAAGAAAATGTCCTGTGTCAAAGTCACTCCATTCCTTGTGTCCTTACCCTTGTGTCCTTACCAATCATCTGAGGATCGGTGATTCTGCCCAACCCTAAAACTCAAATAGTTTGAGATGGTTCTAAACAAAATGTGTTCTAAGCAAATAATCATGAATTGGTTGATATCTTTCTCATCGCTTCTGAATAATTACAATGCAGAGGTTTGCCAAAGACATTCAGGTTGCTATGATCATGTGATTACTGACCAGGGACTGTCTAGAATCCTAGGCCAGTTGAGCTACTTCGAGTTTGAAAGGAACTGCAGTACTAAAATCCTCCTTAATTTCTTGAAGATGCTGCATCAGCACTCATTGGAAAGAGAAAAAAAGGAACTGACAGCCCCTTCTAAACATACAACATTAATTTTCCTATTCAGTCTAAATTCAGCCAAAATTCTAAACAACAGCTTAAAGCACTCCCACACTAAGTGAAATTTCAGATCACAAATGAAAGAAGGAGAGCTCCTTGCTGCAAGAGCTGTCACCAGTCACAACCTTGCTAATAAAATTCACCTCCACCTACGAGGGCTGCCTGTCAAAAACTTCTCCAGCTTGACGCCTGCGCATTACTGATATCCTCACTTTATTTCTTCAGTGTCCTTGGGTTTTACAGAGACAAACAGGTGAATGTGACCTTGGGTGCCCACCACCAAATCCACTGGCTGGAGAATAACATGTTCTGCAAGGGAGCCACCTGCTGAGGGCTGGGCAGTGGTTGGCAGCAGGCAGGCATTCCGGGTGGTGGGCCAGTCACCAACAGCAGGCTCCACTCAGTGACAGCCTCTGATGGGTCTCCACACAGCAAAATGGGCCAGCACTTGCCAGCAATTAAGAAATAACGGCATGGTGCTGGTGCATTTGGCAGAACAGGGTTTTCTCTGGGTCACCTGGCTGCCTATTTCGTAGGGAATATGGCCCATAAGAGGGGGTATGCTGTCACTCATAACCCAGCAGGGAGTTATTCTGTGCAGATAGGACACCTGGCTCCAGGTACTGGGCAGTCTACAGTTTCTAGGCTTCATTAAGGACATAACTGGTAGCAGGTGCCACCTTCCCTCCCCTAAAGCTGTTTTCTTGGAAGTTTACTGACTGGCCGAGAAAAGGAGCATTGCCTTTAAATGAGAGACTGGACTCTGGTTTACTAAGAAGTAATCAAAGGGAAACAGCATAGACTCTGACATTTGTCTTCTTTCCAATCAATCCCCCAGTGTAAGCTATAACACAAGGAAAATTCCCTTTCTGTTTAATCTCTGGATAGCTTACTAATTTCCTGATTCAACTCTGTAAATTCTCATCTTGACTCTGGGAATATGCTCCATATTACACTCTTACAGAACGCATTATGCACTCACCTGTTCACCTGGTCTCAAATAGAGAAATCTTATTATTGTTCACTTGCCTGGAGCATTCTACACCTTAACGGCTAAAACCCTGAGGACACAAAATAGGGCTTTTCCTTCCCTGATATTCTTGCTGGTGTCAGGGAGAGTGATAATCACACAGTAGGTATTCAATAAACATTTACCAAATAAATACATGACTACAGCACATAAAAATGAAAGTTGTTGTAATTGAAGTATGGATGGGATCTAACAGTACATCAGTGGTTCTGAATCTCAGGTTCCAATAGACACTTCCTGAATGAATCAGTACAAGAAGGAGCATCCTTCCAGTGACCAAATGCAAACATGTTGTTTGAACTAAAGAAATGTCCCAAGGAGATTTTTAACCATCACACCTCTTTACCCAGGTCTTTGAGTTGCACACATGTGGGCACGTGAGTGAGTGTGTGTGTGTGTGTGTGTGTGAGGCTGCATAATGAGAAAGAAGAGCCTGGACTGTGGATGTGTCTTCAGACCTGGAGCGGGCTCTCACATTCCTACCTTGTTGTGATATTGCAGCATTTGAGTGATGATTCTTATCTTCGGATGGTAGTTCTTTATGGAGATTACTCTGAAAAAGAAAGAACCAGCGCTGAGACTGGTCTGCCTTATGTATGATGTCTAACCAAAAGATCAATTTTATTGTCTTCAAATGGGGTACCCATGGGACTGAGGTAGGAGGCACGACTTGATTCCAGAGGCAGGACTCAGATACTACACACCATTGAGGACTACCTGAAACAGGGATGGAGCAGAAGCAACCTTCCATTGGACATGGCCAACAGTGTGGTGTATCAGTTTCCCATTGCCATGGCCAAACCTGGGAGCTTCCCTGTATCCTCTAGGCCCCAGAACATTAATATTGCCAGATCTTAGGGGATTGAAATGCTTCATATCTCAAGCCTTTTGTCCAATTACGAAATCAACTATCTCTTGGAATATGTTCATAGTGACCTAACTTTACAGGCACACACTAGGTCCTTTCCTGAAAGCAACTGTAATGCATGGATGAATGCCAGTCCCAGTTCCGTCTTTCACTACATACAATTTTGGGGAGGTACCATGAGGAAAAAAAAAGGCCATGAAAGAGGAAGCACTTTAATATGATTGATACCCAGATTTCAGGATAGACAGTGAGAAAGAAAGCTCAAGAACTTGCCTCTATCTGTACTGGGCTCATGGGACCTGCCTTTCTATGGCAACGACCCAATGACTGAGAATTTACTACCCCTTCCCTAGAAATTTCTGCATAAACTGCCCCTTAATCTGCATGCAATTAAAAGTAGATATAAATATGACAGCAGAACTGCCCAGAGCTGCTACTCTCTGCCTACGGTGTAGCTCTGCTCTGCGGGAGCATTCAGGAGCTGTAATACTGCTGCTTCAATAAAGCTGTTTCTGTCTGCCCTACCACCAGCCTGCCCTTGAATTCTTTCCTGGGGGAAGCTAAAAACCCTCAGGGGCTAAGCCCCAATTTGGGGCTCACCTGTCCTGCATCAGGACCAGCAGCCAGGGCTATCCTGAGGAGTTGGCAACACTAAGTTAAGCAGTGTTCCCACCATACCTCTTGGTAGTGTGAAAATAAAATCACAAAACAGCCACAGTCTGTGTCCTGGGCATGAAAAATCTGAGGGCCCCCTGGGATGCACTGAGGATAGGATGTATGCAAGTGTGTCCTGACTGGGGAATGGGAGGCCTGGAGCAGGGGCTGCCAGCTTATTGCCTATGCAGACATTGAAAGCAAGCCCAAATCATGGGGCCTCCAGAGGTTTGCAATCTCCCACACCCTAGGGATGAGCTCAGAAACAATCTGCTGAGTCCAATTCTCCAAGTCAACAACCTGAGACAACAATGACCAATCAAACAAGCAGGATGATGAACAGTTCTAATTGTGACACACGCTTGTCCACTACCACAAAATATGATTTCTATGCAGGGCTCTTAGGATGAGATCAAGGACTCAGCCTTTCATAGCTAATAGAGAAAATGATGACTTAAACTCCGGTTAAAAGTAAGTGTCAAGGCGTTGCAGGGGTCACGATCTGGTGGAAAATTGTCTCCTACCTGCCCTCAGTCCAAACTCAGTGTTAGGCATGGCCTGCCCCCACCCCGGCCCTCACTTGTCCTCCCCACATCAATCATGGTGCTAAAGGGAGTGGCAGAGTGCCGATGAATGGAAACACCTGGGTTCCAGTCACAGCTATTGTACTAATGAACTGCTCCATCTTTAGGAAAACCCCGGGCTCTCTGTTCCCGTTTCCTCATCTGGACACTCGGGGCAACAGTACCTGCTTTATTTACTTCACAGGCTTGGTATGAGCGGCAAATGGGAGACCAGATGTGAAAACGCTTTGAAATCATTAAAAGTTCTCTCCACGTGTAAGTTATGGTTTTTGTCATTACCAAGTCTGTCAGAAATGACATTGTACATTTCCTTCTGTGACAAGGAGAGCTAAAGAATGGAATTTCACAGAAAGGCCCAAGTCCTAAGCCTAATCAGAAATGCAAATGCATTTATTATGAACGCCCCCACAAACTTCCCACCCAGCAGCGACACCCCCCCCCAACCCCTTTTAGTGCAGACATGGAGAGAAGGTAGCCAGGGAGCAGCTTTATCTGAAAAGCTGCAACTTGTGAATGTAGGAAATGGATCACGTGAAAGCCTCTCCCAGCACAAATTCACCCTGGGTTTTTGCACTTGAAGGATTTAATTTTATTTTTGAAAAAGTGTTGTGTTGGCCCATGCTTATAACTCAAGGACTTTGAGCCTCTGTCCGCCCTGCCTTGCAGTTCACAGCTTCAGCCAGTTTTCTGCATTAGCTCATTTCAAATGGATCTTTGACATTTTAATTTCAAAGGAGGCAGATTGGTCTCATTAAACTGAGGAGGAAGGAGGATTACACAAATAAGAGAAAGACAAAGCCCATTTTTAACCCTGAACTTCCCACTTCTTTTTGCTGCCAGGGCCTCATTCTGGCTCCACTTAATTACATTTCTGATACTACCTTTGACCAGTAATTTCTATGCCTCCTCATCCTGCCAGTTACCCTGGTACCTGCATGTCTTCATATCAACCCTAACACAGTTACGATTTAAATAAAATACTGCCATTAAGAGAGACACCCATTTCAAAGCTATTACTCAGGTAGCCCCAAACGACTCTGCGGGGTCAAAACATTAGGTTTCATCTTCTTTTGGTTTTCCATTGGTGTAGGGGGGAGACCCCATAAGTGCCAAGGCAGGAACCCGAAGCCTCAGCCTATATCCATATAAATAATGAAGAAGAGAGTAACTAGAAATATAACCATAGTTGTTATTAGTTATTCATAGGTGATCTTAGTTACTCACAGGTGATCTTAATTCTTCTACTAATACCTCTCAGGTAAGAAGTGTGAACACCGGTGACACTGTGAAAGGAATCAACCTAAGGCAAGACATTTTAAGCCCTGTCACTTTGTAAGGGCTGCTGGAGGGCACCTTGGCTGTGCAGCAGCGCCAGCGTTGGGAAAGTCTCGGACATTTAGCCAGCTAGGGAAGGACAGGTCCAAGATGGCCAAGACATCCCCTTCCCTGGAGGAGTCAGGAGAAAACTCTGCTCCTCCAAGCTCTTGCGGTAGGCCTGATGGCTGTCAGGTAGGCCCACAGACGTCCGGAGGCTTAACTGTCTCTATGTGATGCTGTGGGGCTTCAGGGGTCATGTTCCACGTATACTCTCGTGTTCCACTCCTGCACCTGGGTCCCTTTTTCTTAGAAGAGATAATCAGCAAAAGTAACGTAAATCTTAATGTCTTGGTTCTTTCTTGACAAGTATGGAAAAAGTGCTGACGCATTATGCTCCTTACCTCATCTCTTCTACCTGAAAGTCTTGGGCCCCTACTTATATGACACGTGATGTACTTGACCCTATCACTGACCACCAATGCCACACCCTACCTACCCTGCCTCCAGCTGTGCACCACGCCCTACCTACCCTGGCCCTGGTTTTGTACTCATTAAAAGTCAGGGCCGGGTGCGGTGGCTCAAGCCTGTAATCCCAGCACTTTGGGAGGCCGAGGCGGGTGGATCACAAGGTCAAGAGATCAAGACCATCCTGGTCAACATGGTGAAACCCTGTCTCTACTAAGAATACAAAAAATTAGCTGAGCATGGTGGTGCGTGCCTGTAATCCCAGCTACTCAGGAGGCTGAGGCCGGAGAATTGCCTGAACCCAGGAGGCGGAGGTTGCAGTGAGCCGAGATCGCACCATTGCACTCCAGCCTGGGTAACAAGAGCGAAACTCCGTCTCAAAAAAAAAAAAAAAAAAAAAGAAAAAAGAAAAAAAAAAAAAAAAAGAGCGTCCAGGCACTCAGGGCCACTGCTGGCCTCCAGGCTTCTGTTGGCAGTGGACCTCTGGGCCCAAACTCTCTTTTCTCTATCTCTGTGTCTTGTGTCTTTTATTTCTACAGTTTCTCATCTCCATACCGACAGAAAGGGGCTCACAGGACCCTGTAGAGTTGAACCCTATAATTGGGAATTCTGAAGATAGCGAAGCCAGTTTCCTTAAAGAGTTACTTTTAATTTTTTTTTAATCATTTCTAATGACAGAAAAATGTGTCAAAAGTTGAAGATCCTTCTTACTTTAAAGAAAGGAACAAAGTGACACACCCAAACCTGAGGCTGGTGTAGCCACTGTGCAGCTGCAACTGATTAGGGAATGGGCCCAGGTGTGAAGCCAGATTCAGTTCTACCCTCCTTCCGAAGCCTGGCAAGCCCAGTGCTTAGCAGAATTGATGCATCAGCCTCCATAAAATGACCTCACTAAGCGTATTGCCAAAGAAAAGCGAGTGGCAAGAGAAGATGGTGCCAGATGTTGCCTGCCAGACACAAGGGCCAGAGGCTTAGGGGAGGGAGGACTGGCCCCTCTGAAGTGCACTGGAGGAATTCCCTCACCTCACTGATGGGAAAGCTCCCATCACGTGGGGCCACTGATGGAAAGCAAAGACAAAGGAGGTGCCGACGTTGTCATGACACAAGGGTAACTTCCTGACCTTCAACCTCAGGTAAGTTCTCAGGAGGCATTAAACCAAGCCGCAGGGAGAGGGGAAAGCTTTGGCCCTGAAAGAGGCTGTTCACAGTTAGGCAAGAGTTCCTGGGAGTGCAGTGAGACTGAAACCTCCCTGAATTTAGTTCATCTCTCCAGAAGCTTCCCTTGATCATTTTCTCTCAGCCCTCTTAACTCTACTGCAATTATGATAGAGAAAAGACAAATTCCAAAGGGCCTCTAAGTACCTGGAGCTAAATGCCTTGACTTTTTAGTCATTTCATTGTCACATGCCATGACTATTGGCTTTAGGCAAGGAACAAAAACTGAACAGTTGCTTTTTTCTGAATTAAGAAAAGAATAAAGTGTTGAAGTTGGGGCCAAGATGAGCAGTTGACAGGCCTAACCCATGTGCATAAAAAGCACTGTGCTGGGTTTCTCAGCGTAACCTCCCCTAGAAAATGTTCTGAAAAAAAAAAAAAGCAGGAGCAGGGGAAGGGCAGTGCAGGGCCACAGTGATACACTCCTGTAATCCCAGAGTTTTGGGATGCCCAGGTGGGAGGATCATTTGAGGTTAGGAGTTCATCGAGACCAGCTTGGGGAACATAGCAAGACTCTGTCCCTACTAAAAAAAAAAATTTAAACTTGGCCGTGTATGGTGGCACATTCCTATAGTCTCAGCTACTCAGGAGGCTGAGGTAAGAGGATCACTTGGGCTCAGGAGTTCAAGGTTACAATAAGCTATGATTGCATCCCTGCACTCCAGCCTGGGTGATGGTCCGAGACTCTGTCTCTACCAAAAAAAAAAAAAAAAAAAAAAAAAGAAGAAGAAAAACCAGGGAGGAGGTGGGAGAGGAGCGGAGGCTTGTAGTCAAATAGATTTGGAAAGTGTTCTATAGTACATTATCTCAGAGATTCATATTAGTATTAAAAGCACTGAAAAGGCTTTTAAGAAAGAACATTAATTTTGGGAAACTGGATGAAACAGCCTAACTGGTCACTAAACTCCTCTTTGCGGTGACAAGAATCAATATGCCATAGGCATACTTGGAAAGCCCTAATAAGGGGTTTGTCAGCCTTAACACTATTAACATTCTAGGCCAGACAATTCTCTGTTGTGGGGGCTGTGCTGTGCATTGCAGGGTAGTTAGCAGTGTCCCTGAGCTCTACCCACCAGATGCCAGCAGCACCAGATGTTATGACAACCAAAAACATCTCCCGACAATGTAAAATGTCACCTGGGGCATCTGCCTTTAGTTAAGATATCTCAGGCTCACTTACCTTAGGGAACATGGTACCTTAATTCAGGCCAGCATCCATCTCAATCAATTTCCTAGTTCTGTCTCAAGGAATCTCAAACCCAAGGCCAGCTGTAAGCCCCGGTGCTGCCACCTGCTGAGGGTGAGCTTCCTGTTGGCAACACCCTGTGTGCCACTGCCTCAAACCACACACACAGCCTTGGATGCCCTGGGCCTACACAGGTGGCGAGTTGTGGGGTGGCTTGTGGGGCGAAAAGCCTCACAGAGAGAGTCCTCTGTAGAAGACCCAAAAGGGCTGTGAATGGCCACAGACCGCAACGCCCAGGGCCTTCCCCAACACCCCAGGACTTACCTCATGATGTTCGAGGCATCCTCCGCATCCGGGTCCGCGCAGTACTTGTTCGCAAGGATCAGGCACGCATCTGCTGACTCTATCTAAGACACCGAAAGGAAAAATCACAGAGCACACACATATAAATAGCCACGCTCAACTGTAGTCTCTCTCTTTTGACAGCTCTTGGGGAAGCTGGTGCTTTGCAAGGGGAGGGGAAAAAAAAAAAAAAAAAAAAACAATCCCGAGAGCCTGAGAGATTATAAACATTTCATCTTGTTGCTGTTGGAGGGTACAACATGTACCTTGGTAATTATACTTTTCATTTGGCATCGTTGCTTACGTGTAGGATTTGCAGATTTCTTTAAATAACAATTAATTAAGCCTTTCAGTCTCCTCCCCACCTCCTTTCCAAACCATCTGCACCATCATCCTAATTATTCCCATCAGGAATTGGAGGTGGGTGGGTTAAACCCCTTCTCTCCGGTTAGCAAGTTAACTGAGTATTGGGGATTCAGAAATGTACACTCTGAAATCCTTCATCTGACCTTTTTCATATCTTCATTTTCTATGGACTGACAGATCAGGGTTCTAAATCAGATAATATCACCATATTGCTTAGGATTCAATTAGTATTCAGATACTCAAAAGACAAAAAATCTATGTATGAAATGATGTGTTATAGATGAACTCAAAATACACCTACTGACTTATCCAAACACGAATCCACCAGGGTTTATTCCTTAGAGGGGACCATGAGTTTGATGTGCTAATAATTGCCTGCATTTAAATTAGGTCCACTAACAATAACAATTGTCCCTACGTTCTCATAAGATTTCACATAAGCCATAACTTGGATTATGTCTGGATAATATTAAGATTAACCAGACTCTGTAAGCCTAAGAAACCTTATGCTGGCTCAGGTCTGCAATCTGCCCTACTTGGTATGTTGTGCTTAATAGATCGTTCCTGGATTTTGAGTGAGGGCATAATATTCTTCATGGTATGTCACAAAGTGTCTCTGATTTCTTTAATGATGCAAAGAATTTATCAAAATCCTTTTGGATGACTCATCTTGGCCAATTATATTACTTACAGAATTATGTGGTGATTACAGCACTCAGACTTCAGTGGATTCACAATATGAATTTACACTCACTGGCATGCAAATATTGAACATGCTTACAAAATGTATATTACATAGGTGAATTAACAGATGCCATTTTGCCTTGTACCTGTCCCTTCTAAGCCTCAGGTGTGCTTTATGAGAAGATTCTAACTTACCACGTTCTGGAAAAAAAGATTCGCCCATTATCAATGATACCAGATAACTGTATATTTAGATTTACACCCTGAGTCTTCGGTGGGGAAAAAAGAAAGCTCAAATGTTTTATAGCTTAGTAAAATTTTATTTTATACTTTAGCTTAATGTTTCTTTCAAATGTAAATAATATATGCCAGAGCTATATTGAGTCCAATTTAAGTGTTCGATACGGGAATTACTCGATTATTATGTTGTATAAAGCCTACTGGGTCCATACAACTGGTCCGTTTCCTTGAGTAGTAGCTGATATTGAGGAAACCAGCAAAGTAAGTTTCATGTATGACCAGTCCAAGTGTGGTATGCTTAAAGGCAGTGTTGCATATGCCAGCAGAAGGAGGTCCTGTGACCAGTGGAACGGTGACATCAAGCTTGCTGGTATCTGATTAATCTCATTAGGGGTTTAGGAGATGACTCGTGGCCATCCCAGAAGGTGTGTTCCCTCACCAGAGTCAGGAATCCTCCCCGCCCCCGACCCCCACCAAGATGGAATAAAAGCAGAAGTCACCTCTTCTTCCTTACCTTGACTCTTGCAAGGTCATGTGGATTGAGAACTGAACCCTGATAAAATTCCACCTGAGTAAAATGTCGTTTGAACAGAGCTTCAAGCTCCAGGTTGGGAGAGATGCTACACGGGGAGAGAAGAAGCCACTATTAATAATAATGAACTCGGTCAGGGGTTTTGGCCTCCACGGGGTCCTTCCTCTAATTTCCACAGGAAGCCCTGGGGCGAGGCTTTGACCTTCCAAGTCGCCCTTTTGCTTGCCATAAAGAAAAGACTCACCCTCAAGGGAAGTAAAACCCAGCCCAACTGAAAACCAAACTAGTACCACGGTAAAAGAAAGAGGTTCTTCAGCTTTAGGAAGGCCAAGACCTCAGGGCAAAATGTCTTCTCTTCAGTATAAATGGAATTCCCATCTTATAAATAGGGAAGCTGAGTTGTGCCTTTAGTGGGCTGGTTCATTTTATGTGTACAGTGCCACCGGATGCCCACATCCAACGTGATTTCTGGGTGTGTCTGGGAGTGTCTCTGCATGAGACTGGCATTTGAATCTGTGAATTCAGTAGACTGACTTTTTCTGTGGGAGTGGGCATCATCCAGTCCTTTAAGGGTCTGAAGAGAATAAAGCAGAGGACAAAGGCGTTTGTCCCTTTTGCTTCTTGCTTGCCCGCTTGAGCTGGGCATCTTTTGTCATTCTCCTACCCTTAGAGTGGGGTTGACATTGGCTCTATGACTCTCCAGCCTTCAGACTCAAACTGAAAACCACCACCAGCTTTCCTGTGTCTCCAGCTTGCCGGTGGCAGACCCTGGGACTTCCCAGTCTCTGTATTTAAGTGAGCCAATTCTTCCCAGTAAATCCCTCTAGAGATAGATAGATATAGACAGATATAGACAGATATAGATAGATATATCAATATATAGATACCTATCTATATCTGTATTAGATATATTGATAGATATATCTAATCAATCATATATATATATATATATATATATATATATATATATATATATATCTCCTATTGACTCTGTTTCATTGGAGAACCCTAATACAATCAAGGATTAGCCAATTCCCTTGGGCGAGCCATCCTGTTGTTCCCTCCATCATGAACCTTTCTGCTCTGTGCTGCATGGACTTCTCATTCCCCAAGGCTTGGATCAAAAAGTGTCACTCTGAGCAGCCACAGACAGACTTAATTTACTCTCAGAATTGTTCTTGATTCACATACATGTATGTGACTCATCACATTTCTTGGTGCCGAGCTGTACTGACACCTTTCTCTTTGGAGGACAAGGATTAAACAGTGGACCTATTTATTCATATGTTATTTGTGCAGAGATGAAAAAGACTGTCTATAAGGTACAGTGCTAGGCACTGGGAGATGATATTTAGTTAGAACTTACTATATGCCACGGACTGTGCTAAGTCAACATTTGCCTAACATTTGTGAAGTCCATAATAATAATAATAATAATAATAATAATGTTTTCTAACATTTACTATATGGCAGACATTTAAATAAATAATAGTAAAATAGAATTATACATAAATAAGTAAAATAAATAATATTTATTTTATTGAGACAGAGTCTGTCTCTGTCACACAGGCTGGAGTGTAGGGGCAGGATCTCAGCTCACTGCAACCACCCAGGTTCAAGCAATTTTCATGCCTCAGCTTCTGGAGTAGCTGGGATTATAGGCGTGTGTCCCCACTCCTGGCCAATTTTTGTATTTTTAGTAGAGACAGGGTTTTGCCATGTTGGCCAGCCTGTTTTGAACTCCTGGCCTCAAGTGATCCACCCACCTTGGACTCCCAGTGCTGGGATTACAGGCGTGAGCCACCATGCCTGGCCTTGATGAGTAGTAACTCAGTTAAATCTCAAAACAACCCTATAGGAAGGTATGTCATTAACCCAGAGCTTTAAGAGGTTAATTAATTAACTGGGCCACCTACTATAAATCTGACATTGATAGATGTTAGGGACACAAAGGTGAATCTTAGCAATAGAAGCATTAGCAGCCAGCTTTTCTTGTTTTTATTATTATTATTATTTTTTGAGATGGGGGCTGGAGTGCAGTGGTGCAATCTTGACTCACTGCAACCTCTGCCTCTCAGGCTCAAGCCATCCTCCCACCATAGCCTCCAGAGTAGCTAGGACTACAGGCACGTGCCACTGTGACTGGCTAGTTTTTATATTTTTTGTACAGATGGGGTCTCACTGTGTTGTCCAAGCTGGTCTTGAACTCCTAAGCTCAAGTGATCCTCCCACCTTGGCCTCCCAAACTGCTGGGATTATAGGCATGAGCAACTATGTCTGACTAGCTTGTTTCTTCAAACTAAAAGAGTGGATGAAAGAAAAGTGGCTGTCTATATGAATCTGAGCAGTCTTTTGAACCCATGACAAGTCACATCTTTTTCAGAAGAATGCCACAGACTAATGCTCTTTGAAAAAGATGTCCCCAGTCACTTCTGCCACCTGATCAAAATGACGTAAGCATTCCTTGATGTTGTCTCTAATGATTACGTGTATGTTCATCCTGAAATGCCCAACCCATGAGGGGGCCCAGCCCACACATTATACCTCTCCTGAACTTTCCAAAATGCTCAGCAGAGGACGGGCCACACAGTGGGTAATTGGTGGCTAAGCACTGAATGGAACCTGTGGGTACTTGCTCCCGTACTACCATAGCCTGGTCTGCCTTTTCAAAGTTTGGAGAAATCAATGCAGAAAAGAAAAATGCTAGTGCCCCAACATGGTGACAAGTCAGAAGTCCTAGCATTCTGTGAGCAAATGCCAGAGGATGGCGATCCACAAAACAGGGAGTTTATAGGGAAACTGACCTCAGTGGAACCTCAGAGTAGGGCCGAGTGCTGAGTGGTCAACAGCACGTCGAGCCAACACAAACATGTGAGCTTTGTTCTGAACTTTTGCAATGTGGTTCCAGGACTAGCTCCATCTCCATAAAACAAGACGACCATGGCACCACACATGTCACCATAGTGGAGCCCCCTAATTCTCTCCATTCCTGGGGCAGACTACCTTTTACCTAAAAAGAGGATTAGGCAAAGCTGAAAACCTCAACACTGGGTAGAAGGGAGACACTTTGCTTTACTCCCCTGTAAAACACACAAGCTAAGACCTACCTCCTAAGTGGAATATACAGCCAAATATATTTATTTTTCGTGCTAATAGCTAACACTTGTTGAAGCCCTACTGGATGCCTGACTCTGCTATGCACACTTCACATGGAATACTTCATTTCATTCTCACCACAGCCCAACTAGGTAGAAACTGCTATCATCTCCATGATTTATGGATGAGGAAACTGAGGCACATGGAGGTGAAGTAACTTGCTCAGCCAGTAATTGCTTGAATCAGGATTCAGTTCAGGGAATCTGAGTCCAGAGTATGTACTTTTGCTCTGTCTGTAGCATAAATGATAGCCTGTATGTGCAGTGACTGGCTAGGGTACCACGCTGGGGGTTCCTAGGAGTGGCAGTTGTTATTACTATTACCTTATATCCTGCTTCCTCTTAAGTTGGTGTCTTGCTTGGTCAACTCACTCCTGCACTCCTAACGTATCCACACCATATAGCTAATCATCCCACAGCACATGCTGTGGACACGCCAGATTGCTAAGGGGACAATGATGATGACTTGGACCCACAATGAGCTCCACTGTTATTTCTTCCAGAGACAAACTCGGATGTGGTCCCAGAATCGCCTCCACAGAGACAGGCTCTGCTCTCATCATTGAACCAGTGTGTTGCTTCCCTTGCCATTGGTTCTCTAGTATCTTCTCCAATGAGGCCAACAGGGATCATGGCTTATCCAACTCTGGTCCTATCCGCAGTGCTATTCCCCATAACCTCCACTCTTACAGACATTCAAGGAGTCCTCCACAGGGTGCGTGGTTGGGCAGAGGGTCTGACAGCAACAGGAGCCTCTTACTTGTGAAGAAAAACGATCTCCACATTGACATCGTCCCGGTCCTTGTGCAGAAAGTCCTTCAGGAAGTTGGAAACACTCTCCAGAGTGATGTGTCCGCAGACCACAATGTGCCTGAACGGGAGAGGCCAGTTAGATCAGGCCAGGCCCCACGACAGGACCCCACATCCCACCCCCTGGCAAGACAGCAGAAGCCAGGCAGCTGCAGGGGAAGCATTCACCTCCTCCCTCCGCCTTCATAAAAGCCCAGCTCCCATCCCCGGAGGGCTGTGAGGCAAAGCAGCAGTGCTAGCAGGTGCTCAGAGACTCCTAGACAGAAAAGGCATATGGCTTCTCACCTGATGCTGCACAAAATCCTATTAAAAGCCCAACCGTTTGGCCAAGTGGTTTTATGCATTTAACAATAAGTGACATTATGCTTGCGCTTAAATGCTGCATTATCAAGTCCCTTGCAGATTCATATCTCTCCCTTTCTGCCCACAAAGCGTCCTCTGGGGAGATTTACTGTATGAGTCTTGGTTTATGACATAGAGCTTATCAGGTAATGAGATAACAAATCTTGCTGAAACGATGATTTTGTGTGTAAGAAAGCAGACTTTTATCAGGGTGGCTAATGTGAGGCCTGACATGTTATAGGCTCTGCTGGCCATAAGCAGTAAAAAGGAAATTTTGCATTTTTCCACCATAACTCCTCCGACAATGGGGGCATGTAACACTTTACAGTAAGTGAGCATTACTCAGGGCTAAATGGGGATGGGACATCTATGGAATGGAAGATCATGCTGGCTGGCTGTGTGTCCCCAGAGGGTTGCTTCCTTAGGGTGCCTGGGATTACCAGGAGAGCCAAAGGAATTTACCTCAAAATGGGGAGATGCCAGGAAGGAATGAGGCTGGAATTGCTCGCCTTGTTTGAGGGTAGTTTGGACTTCTGTTTCTGGAAATCATTTCTCTCACACGGAAGAGATAAGCCCCTCTTCCAGAACTATTGAGACTGACAGTCCTTCCAACAGCTCTGGGCTTCTGGACCAATCTGACTTTGACACCAGGCTATGCCGTGGCCACTTATATTTGCTACATGATGCCCAACCAGGAGTAAGCTCTTTGATGCAAGATTCAGCCACGAGACAAAAAGCCCGGGACTGGCTGTGGAGATAAAACCACTGGCTTCTAGTGAAGAGACTGTATGTAGCAAGAGGCTCAGCGCCTGTCCCTGTGTTCCCCAGGCTGACGTGACAGAGGCTGAATCTCTAGCTGTGCTTTGAGACTTGGGCAGGTGGTGAACATGCAGTATGGTAATTTCCTGGGTAAAATTTAGAATGGCCAGGTCCCTCGCACTTCATAATTGCTCTGTGCACATTCCAGTAAGGCAGAAAGCTCATTGGCTGGAGGTGGCTCACAATAGGAGGCAGTGATGATGGCTTACGCAATGTTCCATTAGATGCCATTATAAGAGCCTGCCCTTTCGTTGTAATTTGGTGCTTGACTAAGTATGTGAGAATAATGCAGTAAACTCATTGGTGAAAGGATAATGATGCAGAACAAAGAGTAAATCAATAATATGCACGATGTAGTTAATAATATCACCATTATAGACTGTTATTGTTACGGTGGTGCACTTAGCAATCAGTCACGCCGTGGCCACCAAGGGGAGGGAAGAGCGTCAATGAGCGACTTCAAAAGAGATGTCTTAACATGATCACTTTGCTCTCCTGCTAGGTTGTGGGAGCTCCCTTAGCCACCCATCCAAATTTTATGCGCAAAGCCCATATGACTAACCCTCTCGTATACAGTGAGTAGTAAAAGGTTGATATAACATAACACACAGTATATCAGAATACACAATATAAATTGAACACTTGGATGATATGCATTTTATCATATATTTTAAAATGTTTATTGTGGCACATGTGCATTTACAAAGACAAACTACTTCAAATAAACTTGCATGTTCTGAGTAAGATTTCAGACTTTGAATTCACCAAATGTGTTTGAAGTGAATGAAAAACAGAATTTCCCTAGCCACCTAACTTCCTTGCAACTGACAATAGGGCTACTTTGCCATTCTAATGCCATCTGCACATAGACTTCCAAGATTCAGAGCGAGGCCAACATGAATCCAATGTGTGGGTGTCTGCACAGGACAGATGCGTGGTCTAGGCCATTCTCATCACTTGGATGTGAAAGTAAGCCAGATGTGATTCCCTGCTCTGCGACCAAGGGTATGTGTTAGCCTGGGCGAGGTACTTACTCCCATTCTATGCAGAAGGAAGCCAAGAGGTTAATACCATCCAGCCAGCCTCCTGTACCAGGCATTGTAAGTTCAAAGTTCTATACCAGCGTAAGCCTGGTTATTACTCAAAGCTAGACTCAAATCAATACAGGTCTGGGGAAATGCCTGAACATTCATCCTTCCTGCCCAGGATGCAAAGAACTGAATGAACATGAGCCAGCATCCCCTCCTCCTCTCCTGAAATCATTCTTCCCTGGGAAAGATGTGTGAGAAGTACAAGGGAGAAGATGAGTTCCCCCCTCTCATCCTTGAATCAAAAGCTCAGCTGGCTGATTTATTCAGCTTTAGAAAAAGTCAGGGTTCTCTTCCTTGAAAGTGTGCCGGGTACATATAAAATATATTCCAATGCAATCAATATTATCCCTTAAGCCTTTAATTAACTTTCACTTCTCTTAAGAAGTAGACAAATGCTGGCAAGTGTGAGGAGAGAAAAAGGATTGACTTTTTTCATTTGGTGCTAGCTATCCAATACCATTCTAGACAATTGAAAATATATCTTTTAACTACAGCATGATTTCTAGGTGGAGAGCAGTCTTTATCAAAAAAGGAAGAAAAAAAATCTTCCTTCCTTCAAAGTAATTGGTAGTTTTGCTCAGAAAAAAGCGAGATTGATTGAAAGCAGATTGCCTTTTTGCCCAAGGAGAGTTATTAGGTACATTATCATGGCAACCTTGGAGAACCCATATTGTTCCAATCGGTCCTATATCTGATGTGAAGATTTATGGCTTCCCCCTTTTGTGCCAATAATCATTTCCCTCCATTTTGTTTTCCATACAGTGAAAGTTATCAAGGAGCCTGCATATTGAAAATGTTTGAATGCAGTTAGAATTGATGGATGGGGAAAGGCTGCCTCTAACTCTACAATCGGTATTAGGAGTTCTGCTTCCACCAGCCTGTGTCTGAGGAGGGCCCTGCAGAAGCATGAGGGATGGATGGCGAATGGGAAACATTTATTTACCGGAAATATTTTCAAGACTTTTGAAGATTCCAGGGCCATAGTTTGGGAAACGATATTATTACAGGAAGAAGAGAACTAGAATTTATTGCATCCCCAAATATGAGAGATATCGTCAAAAATACTCTAAGATAGAGAGCAGGGTGTGACCTCATTGGAGGCAGAGTAATGGCTGTTCACAGGGCATGATTTGAAGAATGCCAAAAAAAGACACTCAACCAAGGTTATCGCTGTTGGGTTCCATGACACCTACACATTTACCATGTGAGATTCATACTCTGATAGCCCTGTGTTAACTCAGCTCAGACAGTAAACAACTAAATAGTCTTGGACAATATACCAAGTTTGCATTTTACAATTAAAAAGCCAGAGCCTTTGAGGGGCCAGAGCTAGTGCCAGATTCATGAAGTTATCCTGAAATTTAAGGAGATGATACATGAAAGGGCCAAGTAACCTGGCCCATGGTAAGCACTATCAGTTGGTTAAGTGCCATATGATATCTGTAAATCAGGATGTAACCAATATAGCATTCTGTGGCCTGTATAATCTCACCTAATCCTTCAACAACCCCGGATTCTCACTACCTGAATCTTTTCAGATAACCTTTCTGAAACTCTTTCCTCAAGTTATATGCCTGGCATCCCACAGCAAATAAAACTAATTTGTCCAGGATGTGGTCGGGGTCTCCCGTTTCAGTTCCCACTAAGATGAAGGTGGTAGTGGAAAGGGCAGCAGCTTGTATATCTCAGCTTCTCCTTCAGCTCAGGCAGAGATGGACCCAGAGAGGTCCTCCGGGATATGTGGTGGAGGGGGTATTGGAGGGATCCTCCACTGGCCAAGGGAGAGGTTTAGTCTGGGGATTGGAGTGGATAAACTATCAGAGTTTTGTAATCACTGGAGTCTGGCTGGATACGTAGTATCATGATAGTCTCAACAAAGTCTGATTACAGGCAGAAATCCTAAGTCCTACTGGTCAGGAACTCTAGGCCAAACTTAACTGAAGCCATATGATTAGGGCAGCCAAGAGGCTGCAAAGCGATGCAGATGTCCATTTTATTTTATATTTTATTTTATTTTTAGAGACAGGATATTGCTCTGTTGCCCGGCTGGAGTACACTGGTTCAATCATAGGTAATTGCAGCCTTGAACTCCTGGGCTCAAGCGATCCTCCTGTCTTAACTTCCTGGGTAGCTGGGACTATAGATGCATGCCACCACAGCTGGCTAATTTTCTTTTGTTTTTTTGTAGAGATAAGGCCTTGCTATGTTGCCCAGACTGGTCATGAACTCTCAGCCTCAAGTGATCTGCTCACCTTGGCCCACAAAGTGCTGAGATTACAGGCATGAACCACAGTGCCCTACCCCAAATGTGTATTCTAGATATGTCACGTACAGCTTAGGACTTCCTCACCAGCCCGGAATCTAGAAGATAACAAGAATCTTAATGATCCATTTACAATGGGGAATATTTAGGAAAGTTCAGCTGTGAGAGTAGCTAAATCTCTCCGTATCTGTGGCTCTGGATCTGAACGTTTTTAGACCACCAGCAATTGTCATGACCAATGATCTATAGAGCCTGATCGCTCAATTTGTGAAGATGACCAGTAGACTTCAGTCAGTAACCATTTCTTATCTGATGAACTCTTTGGTTTTTAATGCTTTGTCTAGATCTGTAAACAAATATTTCTTGGGCAGGGATAACATAAACTAAACATAAGCTAACAGGTCCTGGCTTAGAATAAAAGATCCACCTCAGACACACAAGGAACCTTCTTTGATGCCAAAATAGTATCCAATGGCACTTTCTGGAGAGGAATTACTCATCCAGTGTGAGCAAGTAGTGGCTGGTGCCAGGTCAGGGCTCCGTAAA